CTTGCTGTCCTCAGTTTAACACAGGCCAAATATGGTGACTGAATGCCGCCACGACTTGAAAAGCTTTCTGTCCATCTCTCTACCTTTCTTGGTAGGAAACACCTGCTGTGATGCTGAATGAGCCAGCTCCATTGTAACATTCCACTGACTTCGTTGTTCACAGCAGTTGCAGTGGTGGATCAGCAGCGAGCAGGTTAAACTGCATTTTCCAGGCAGAAAAGAATAACGAAACCAAGGGATCAAGATGTAGAGAAAGATGAAAGTGGTGGCAGAGGGGGAAGAAAATGAGGAGAAAATCAAAGTTTGACAGAAAAGGTTATGTTGCAGGCAGAAATACCAAAAAGAGATCAAAGGGTCAAATGAGAATTAAATCACCCGGTCGCTATCCTATTGTGGGAGCAAAGGAAGACACTTTGTGAAGTAAAGTGGAATAGATTAAATAGAGAGGGAACAGGAAGGAGAGAGAGAGATTACAGCAATACAGCATACATCCAGGGCAGGGATCTGCCTGAATTGTGGGAAAGGAATTTAGCAGAATTTTAATCTTAACCTTCAAAATCTATTGAGTTGTTAAGAAGAGAGAGACAAATATTTTGAGGATTCCAGCATTTGACTTGCCTTCAGAACTGATATAATCTTGTGGGAAATATTTTCAGATATTTAAGAAAAATGTGTTAACTGTTGTACAGGCATCCAGTGCTCTGTCACTGCAATAGTTACTGCTTATATCAGGCCCAGAGAGCCAAATTGTGGAACCCTCATGTGCACTGGTGAGCACTTACACATATAAGCACTGCCCTTGTCTTCACAGTGGGACTACTTGCACGAATAAGTGTTCATCAATGTCACAGATGACTAGCTGTTTTCAGGGTAGGGTAATGTAAGTGCATGTGTGTGATATATAATATGTTTGTATTATGTGTGTACATACATATATACATTATTATTGCCATATGTGTATACATACATATATACACACATTACTGAAGATATTCTATTCCACAAGAGTGCTTTATTATTCTTATTTTTTTCTGTGAAAAGATGTTTTCCATTCTATTAAATTGCATATCCATAGAGATTTGGGGGGATTTCTGGGCACCAAACCAGTCAATCCAATTTGGACTGGGACAGTGGTTACTTTGGTTTAAGTCTCTTATCTGTCCCCTTCAGATGTTTTAGTTCTCTGTTATTCATAGTAAGCATAAAATTAAAAGTGGTACAGACTTATTGGCAGGGACCCAGCAAGACACCTAAGAAGGAAACATTAGGGGGCAAGATTCTGATTTCAGACAATTCAGTGTAAAGCTGGACTAAATCCATTGATTTCAATGAAGTAACAAAAGATTTACACTGGAGAAGCTTGACCAGCATCTGGTCTAATATACTATCATATTTTTTTTCTTCTTAAAGTCACAAGTACACTTGATTCCTTATTTCACCAGAATCTTCCTGCTTTGTTTATGTGTGGGTACCAAATACCCAAACTTGAAACTCAAATTGCTCATGGTTTTTTATGAAGAAATGGAAACGCTGGATTACAGTAGACTAACTATTGAGTTTTTATTATGTTAGCCTGTTCATTATTCATCTTGCTTATCCTTAGAAGGCAGTAGCAGCAGCGTGAGAAGGAACTGGCCCTTCCATATATCTGATTCTTCACTCATACCATTATAAATTAGAAGATAACTGTATTGAAATCAGTAGAGTTACAAGAGTGTAAAACTGGTGTAAGTAAGAAAAGAATCAGGCCTGGTGAGCCAGATTCTATGCTGGGCCTCACAGGAGACACAATCATCTTTGTGCCCTCTGGATTCTGGACTTGTCCAAGAGCTTGCAGCACAACTTATGACTGCTCTACATTATGGTTACTTTGCTTGGCCAACCATGAGAGAGCTTGTGATTGATTGGATGAGTGGTCAGTGAAATCCACTGTGTCCTCCCTCTGGTTTTGTCCAAGTCTTTGTAGCCAGGTCAGGCTTGTCTGCTTCAAATGCTTACTTGCTTCATAGGTCTGGCAGGTTTTTCAAATAGAGCATCTCCGATAATGGCTTTGTTGAGCCCTTGTGACAGGAACTGATCTCTAGCTTCCTTAGGAATAGACAAGCAAAGCCCACATCTAGGGTATTTATCAATCCTTTTTGATTCAGCTGAATTCCCTTCCTTTTGCTCCCTGCTTGGTAAGACCTGTTCTCTGGGAGTCACAGACAGATCAGTTGTATGGCTCAGTTCACTGAATATTACTTCCCCTTTCAGATGTCCTAAACTTCAGGGGCCAAATAAACCACTGTTTTCACTCTGTAGTGCCACAGTATAGACACTTCCTATATCAATGGAAGGGGTTTTTGTGTTGCTGTAGTTAATCCACCTCCCAGAGTGGTGGTTGCTAGGTTGACGGAAGAATTCCTGTGTCAACCTGGCCATATCAACAGCAGGTGTTGGGTCATCTTAACTACGGCACTATGGGTATGTGTTGTTCTTCTAAGTAATGCAGGTAGGTGGACCAAAATTTTAAGTGTAGACCAGGGTTTAATCATTTATACTCAGGCACAGTGAATGCCAAGGGAGTATAAAATGCAACCAGATTAAAGTGGTAGCAATTTACACCCACCTTGTGTAAATAATTATACAAGGTGCAAGGCAATGGTGAACCAAGCTTCTTTTCTAGTGTTTGTAGTTGTCTGTTGTTTCAGGCACTCTTGCTTAGATGGAACCAGTTTTTCAGTGTTACAGACATATTATCTCCTGTGTCTTTCCTTCTGTTCAGAAATTTTATTTTTTCCCCCACTGCTTACATTTTCCTTACTTTTTCGGTGTCTCTTCTCAATGGTTCTGCCTTAAAAGAAAATTATATTGACTTGGTATAATAAAGGCCAGATTATGTTTAGCCCTGTGCAGCTGTGGGGAAGGGAGGATGAATGGCAGACATGGAGAATGAGGTGCAAGGAGCATTCCTCCCTCCTATTCAGCAACCAGTCACAATCCCAGTCCTTGTGCTCACTGAGCATAAAGACTGATTGAGTCTAATGCCATTGCTGGAGATAGGGAGGAGAAAGTGAAGAGCTATCATCGCCCCATCCCTGCTATACCAATTAGCGAAGCTGGGTCAGCTTCAAAGGAAATACATGCTGCATCCTTTGAAAGGGTGGCAGATGTTAAGAGAGCTTCTGATATTACGGAGGTGCTGATTATGACATCATAGTGATGGTGCATGCTGAAATAATCTTAAAATGGGGCCTAAATTCTTGTTCTTCTCTTTATGTAGGTGGTTTGTCAGAGTGAAACTTCACACAGCATTCATTGTTGTGCGCTTTGTGTTTTCAAAGTAATTTGGCTTTGCATAAATTTTTGACAGGAAATATTTGAAGCTGGCTTCTTGTTTGAAATTTGTCTGCCAGCCTCTTTGGTTGGCATGTATTTTTAAAACAACATTGTATGTTTACACCAAAATCGGTACACAGGTGAATCAGAAGCAGATTAGGTAATTCTTGAAAATAAATGTTTGGATAAGGATCATTTTTTGCCATTATTAATGATAATGAAACCTTGTGTTCAACAAGTAGTCAATAAATAAAATCTTCTCTACTGGATAGAAATCTTCTCTGTCAGCACTTACGTTCTTCTGGCAGATTTTATCCTCTCATGGAGAAGATTTTATGCACAGCTGCATTTCTCTGACAGATACAATCTTCTCTGTCAGCAGGCAGGTAAAATCTTTATCAGCAACTATTTTTCTGTGGCACAGCTCTAGTATCCTGCCTATCTCTGTCCCCATTGCTTCATTGAACACATAACTTAATACACACAAAAACTTGGTTGTATAACATACATGACACACACCCACAAAAGAAAGGAAATGAAGAGTCAAGCCACTTAACAGTACCTGTCATCTACTCCTCCAGCCACAGGTACACACCTTACCATCACCACAGCTACCATACGTCACAGATCATACACAACAACTTTAACTCTGCCCCACTATGGATACCACATTTTCAGCACCCTGTCAGCCAAACCATCCTGTTCAAAAAAAACCAAACATCCACAATAGTGTTTGGAGGGAGAGTTTGGTTTAAAGGCTGTGTGCAGGAAGTGATGAGAGGGCAGAGTTAAGGTTGTAGTGTGAATGCAATCTGTTGTATATGGGTGTGTGTGTGTGTGTGTGTGACAAACATACACTAGTTTAGACTAGTAACCTGATATTGAGGTGCTGAGCATTTGCAGATCCCATTAACTTCAGTAGCAGGCACCTGTGAGTGCTCAGCAGCTCTGATAGTCAGGCTACACATTTTCAATGGTGCAAAAAAAAAAAAAAAATCACATTGCAGTGTAGGCCTCTAGAATTGGTCCAGGTGCACTTTGTCTTTTTTAACTTATGAACCCTTTCTTGTAGCTGCTTCTGCAATGGAGTGATGATCTCTGGCGTGATATCCTTTTCTTCTCTGCTGCCATTCGAACAGCAAGCAGTATGTTTTGAGTGATGTCCCTTTAATTGGAAAAGGGATGGACTACTGGAACCCCAGCTTTCCATAAAGGCTAGGAGAAGGCAATTGGATCAGGGAAATGTAAAAAAGAAGAAAACTACCTACAGTGATCTCAGCAGCAGCTTTTTGAAGAAAAGAACCTGAGGAAAAAGTGAGGGAAAAATGAATAGGAAAGAGGGTAAAGTGTGAGAGGAAAATAGTGTAAGACATAAAAGAAAAGAGTTAGGGAAAGGAAGAGAACAAAAGAGGAAACCACCTGACACATGGAGAAAGTAGGAATACAGAAAGAATATACTCACACAAAAATCCACCCAACAAAATAAATGAGCTCCTGGTTGTTGTTCTCTCTCTCATTTCATGGTTTGAATTGCTATCTGACTTATGTTTTTTAATTATAAAAATAAAATCTATTCATTTTGCTCCAGTGCATAAATACTCAATTATAAGATATGAATGAATGAGTACTGATAGAAGGTAAATGATTTAAGGGGATATTAGTTATAAAACTGAGGTATTTACATAACAAGGCAAAGACATTCAGAATCAAAGCCATAACTGCCAGAACAGGGGTCTCCAGGTTATCCATGTCCAGTCCCATTTCTCTCAGATTCTTCTGAAGACAGAAAAGAGCAGGAAATATAAGAGGCTTCAACTTTTATAAGAATAATGTAGATACAAAACATGTTCAAGCCAGATTCTGACACCCTTGCTCACATTGAATAGCACCTTACTACACAAGTATCAATGGGAAATCAATGGGACTCTTCAGAGTAAGTTGTTACTTAATAGGAGTAAGGTGTCAGAATCTGGTCCATAGGGATTACAGGCTGTATTTTCTTATGTAATCTAAGTGTCATTTTTCACTGTCTATATTAGTTTCTTTTCTGCCCTCAGAGCAGCAAAAATGACAGTCTCATTATAATCCTTCACATCCACATCTCTAATGCAATTACAATTATGTGTACATTTGGCATAAGGTAAAAACTAGTTCTGCTCCCTATCACAGCATTGACTCTTCCAGCACTAGCCCATAGTGTCACTTTGTTGACTGAGCATGCAATCAGCCTCTAGAATTATTTTGAAACAAGACCCTTTGAGGCGACTAGCATATGTGAACAAGTGCATCATATTAAATTACTACTCCTCTGAGGCTTAGCTGTCACCCTCCCAAGACCTAAATGTATGACAATGACCTTTTAAACTGGATGGCAAAGACCTTGAATAAAAGACATGACACAAAATAGTAGAAAAAGAATCTTGAAATGATGTGGATTGATTTTTTTAAACATCTAGTACTTGTTCTATAATCTCCGTTTCAAGGTTAATAATACATTACAAAAATAAATAGTGAGGCAAAACCAGATTTGTGCATGACACAGATAAAGCTCAGTCTAAAACAGAATGCTGTATCTCATCACCAGATGTGTTTGACCAGTGCTCCTGCTTCAAGGAAATATTGCAAAGCCCATGGCCTACTTTCAAGTACCATCAGCTCCTGCCAAATCTGGCAACCAGCATGACACTGTAGTAGTCAAACTTTGTGCACACTTTGACCAATCTCTTTACTTCTGCTCCCACCGTACCAATAATCTCTCAGAGAAGATATGCCATTACACCCCACATGATCACTAAAAGTGACAGCAATCTAGCAAAAGGCCAAAAAGAACCCAAAAGACCTCCATAAGAATTGTTGCTTCTAGGAAATTATATATATCATAACATGTGTGACATATATCCATACCAGAAATATTCATTGTACATCTAGTCCCATAGTTGGGGAGGTCCACTTTAGACTATCTAGATGATACAAATATTTTAACCACCATATAAGAGATACTGGGAGGGGTATAAGTAACTTAAAGGATTTACCGGTACGCCGGAGTCCTGAGCAGGGCGTGTCCTCAACCGGAAGAGGTGGGGCCTTTAAATCCCCGGCTGCAGTAGCAGTGGCTGGGAGCCCAGGGCCCTTTAAATCACCCCCTGAGCTACCAGCTGCAGAGGTGGCTGGGAGCCCCGGGGCTCGGTGGAGATTTAAAGGGCCCAGGGCTCCAGCCGCCGCTACTGCAGCAGAGCCCCAGGCCCTTTAAATTGCCGACGGAGCCCCGGGGCCTCCCGGCTGCTGCCGCTACTCCAGGGCTCGGGGCTCTGGCAGAGATTTAAAGGGCCTGGGGCTACACTGTGGTAGCGGCGGCTGGGAGCCCCTGGCCCTTTAAATCACTTCCAGAGCCCCGGGCCGCTGCCACCCCAGGGCTCCAGCGGTGGGGCTAGGGTGGCGTTTTAAAGGGCTCAGGGCTCCAACTACCGCTACTGCCATGGGCCCTTTAAATCGCCATCTGAGCCCTGCTGCCGGAGTCCCTGGGGTAGCAGCGGGAGCCGGGGACTCTGGTAGTGATTTAAAGGGCTCTTTAAATCACCGCCCAAGCTGCCTCCACTACGCAGGGGCTCTGGCAGCGGGACTCTGGTGGTAATTTAAAGGGCCTGGGGCTCCGGCCGCTGCGGGGAGCCCCGGGCCCTTTAAATCGCCAGCCTGGGGAAGCTGGTCTGGTCCGGCACGGCATACCGGCTCTTGCCGGTATGCCAGACCGGACCGTGCTGGCTTACTTTCACCTCTGGATACTGGTCACAGTTTTTCCGTAAGATCTGATGGCATAAAACATCTGGAAAAATCAGTGTGACCTGCTACCTGGGAAATCCCCTTGCATTAATGGTATCTCTGATTGAGCACAGCAGATCTACACCATCCATATCCTGATCCCCACCAGATAGGATGACCAGACAGCAAGTGTGAAAAATCAGGACGGGGGGTGGGGGGTAATAGGAGCCTATATAAGAAAAACACCCCAAAACTGCAACGGTCTCTATAAAATAGGGACATCTAATCACCCTACCACCTGATGGCCAAGGCAGCCACATGTGATTTATAGCAGCCCCGAGGCTTTCCTAAATTGTAACAGGGGCCCAAAACAGCCCTGTTCAGCCCAGAGTTGGGAAGCTACAAAGATATAAAGCCACTTTGTCCCTTCCTCTTGGGGCCTGCATTGGCCAGACCTGAGAAATGGGGCAAGTGAATAGAATGAAAATAGTGGGAGTTTTTAATATCCTTACGATGCCACATAGATGGTCAGCCTACTCAGGTCTAGCTCTGTCAAATGCTATCTCATTATCGATTTAGTCCATTTCTGCATAACTGGTATTAAAACTTCCCACTTAATGTACAGCTATAATGTTACAAGTAGGACAAAGGCAAAGGCCAAAACCAATGTATGCCCTCCTTTCCAGTGACACAAATAAAATGCTAAAATCCTTGTAATGAATCATGAAAGAGGATTAAGCTTTTCTACTCACTATGCTTTTCAGCTACCAAAAGTTAATGCTAGCCTTTTGTTTGAAAACAAAAGTTCTTCTTTGAGTGGTATCCCTGTGGGTGCTTCACTTCAGGTGTCGGTGCATCCCGGCACCATTGATGAGAGATCTTCGGTAGCAGTGCCTGGTCGGGACGTGTGTGCGCAGTTGGTGTCTCGAATTGTTGTTGGAGTCTGTTTGGTGCACGTGCGTTCTGACCCCCCTCAGTTCCTTCTGAACCCTCCTTGGCTGAAGACAGAACTCAGGGCATTGCTGAACCTCTTCCTCTATTTTGAGAGGAAAATTAGTTTTAGTTAGATAAAAACTCCCCAGTTACTACCCTACCTTTAGATAGTTGCATACAGTTCGTTTTAAAAACAAACAAAAAAACCCTAGTTTTTTCTTAACCCCTTTTCCCACTTTGGGAGTGAACCCCGCTAAGGTCTCATTCTTAGACTTTCTTGAGTGGGCCACATTCAAGATGCTGGGGTCTCCCGGTTTTACAAAATGCAACTCTTGCAAGGACCCCATACCACACTCGGAAGGATATTGCTGGTGTGTCAAATGCCTCGGTGAGACTCATGTCCCAGATAAGTGCGTCCACTGCAATAATCTAAAAGCCAGAGCTAGCCAAGACAGAGACTGGGGTTTAAAGATGGGTCTTATGGAGAAATCCCTCCAACCTGATTTGGAGACGGGAGGAACAACTCTCCTAGGTGCTCTCCGACCAGGTCAGAACTGACCACGAGCAGGGCTCCACCCTCTCATGAGAAGAGGAAGAGAGCCTTGACCTCCCCCCACAGGGAACCGGGCAAAAAGAAATGTTTCCCAGTGAGCTCCTTGCCAGCGGTGCCAACTGCCTCAAGGGTCAGCATCTGTGACATTCCCAGCACCTCTGGCACCGGGCATATGGTGCAGAAAAGTAAGGAGTCAAGACCGCGTCATGGCCAGGTCTCCTCCTCGGCACCGAAGGCGCTGACGCCTGTGCCGGAGTTGGCGCCATCTGTGCACATAGCCCTGGCACCGACAACGCCGTTGGCACCGGCGACCCCACCGACACACCATCCGGCAGCGGCTGACAGTGCCACCATGGGGCTACTGCACCAGCCAAGACCAAAGGCAAACTGCTTAAACCAATGGCTTCTGACTCTAAATCCACGGTGTCGCACTCTCCGGCACAGATGCAATTTCTAATGCCTCGAGACATCTCAGTGGCGCTGGTGCTGGATTCACCGCCACTCGGTACCAAGGGCTCACCTGTGATCCAGGCACCCTCTCTTACTGAAACAATGAGGAATCCGGTGGCACCTTAAAGACTAACAGATTTATTTGGGTATAAGCTTTTGTGAGTAAAAAACCCACTTCTTCAGATGCATGAAGTGAAAATTAGAGATACAAGAATAAATATACTGGCACATGAAGACAAGGGAGTTACCTTACAAGTGGAGAACCAGTGTTGACAAGGCCAATTCAGTCAGGGTGGATGTGGTCTACTCCCAATAATGGATGAACGCTCTACTGAACGCTCTGTCTTCACAGACAGCAATGATGACGACCACGGAGATGCAGTCTTTTCTCCACCTGACTCTCCTCCACCACAACAAAGACCACCTGACAGGAACGTGCATCACAAGGACCAACCCCAATTCCCATGGTTTGCTCCACCATGGATGGGACCTCAACTATCATATCCCATGCAATGGGCACCTTGGGACTCATGGGCACCCTATAAGGCCCACTACTCCCACACCTCCTCGCTTCATAGAGTGCAGATCCACTCTCCACCTGGATCCCCAACACCATCTGCGTCTAGAGCCTTTGAGGATCTACATGAGGAAGTGAAGGAAGAGCCCGCACCTGACATGGAATTGCCCTAACACAACTCCTCTTCTTCACCTGATGAAGCCGTCATGCTATCCCCACCAACTATAGCAGATGACTTTAAGCAATTTCAGGAATTATTTAAGAGGGTTGCAATCAGCCAGGACATTCCATTGGAGGAAGTACAGGAGAATCAACATAAACTCTTGAAGATCCTCCAACCCTTGGCATCCTCAAAGATTGCATGCCCCATAAACAACGCCATATTGGAACTGGCCGACACTATCTGGCAGACACCAGCTTCCGTCCCGCCAACCTGCAAAAGGGCTGGCCGGAAATATTATGTTCCAGCTAAGGGCGTGGACTTTTTATTCTCAAACCTGCAGCCCAACTCCCTTGTGATTGAAGCTGCTAACCACAGGGCTAAACAACCTCATTAGCGGTCCACACCCCAGAAATAGACCTCAAACACCTTGACCTCTTAGGTGGCAAGATGTACACATCCTCTACTCTCCAATTTAGAATTGCCAACTATACCGCTTTTCTTGCTAGCTATGACTTTGATAATTACAACAAACTTTCTGAATTTACTTCCCACATCCCAGAGGACCGAAGAGCAGATTTTAAATTGTTCCTGGTAGAGGGACAGCTAGTATCCAGAACAGCGCTTCAAGAATCTCTGGACATGGCCGACACAGCAGCTCGCACCACAGCTACTATGGTGGTGATGTGTGGGGCCTCCTGGCTCTCCTCATCTGGCATCCCTAAAGAGCTGCAGACCAAAGTGAAGGATTTACCGTTCAACAAAGATAAACTTTTTTCCAGAAAAACCAATGAAGTCCTTCACACAATGAAAGATTCCAGTGCCCTCCAAACACTAGGGATCTACACCCCTCCTTCCAAGAGAAAGAGATACCAGCCTTACCAGAGGTCTCACCTGCAGCAATACAACTGCCCACAGTCCAAGCAGTATGGGGAGGGATAGCTCCGTGGTTTGAGCATTGGCCTGCTAAACCCAGGGTTGTGAGTTCAATCCTTGAGGGGGCCATTTAGGGAATCTGGGGCAAAAATTGGGGATTGGTCCTGCTTTGAGCAGGGGCTTGGACTAGATGACCTCCTGAAGTCCCTTCCAACCCTGATATTCTATGATTCTATGACACTGGGAGGTCCCGCGGCAGGTCTAACAGACATTGACAAACCCAGTCAGAACAACCTACGTCCCACCCATCGGGCCACAAACCGCAATTTTGAAGTCTTGGTCGAGGTTCTAAGTGACCACTCCTTACCACCAGTGCCTACTTGCCCTTTTGACCATTGCCTCCAATGCTTTCACCACGCTTGGTGAAACATCACACAGGATCACTGAGTCTTGAAAATAGTGCAGTTGGGCTATTCCATCCTTTTTATTTCATGCCCCCCTACCCCTTCCCTGTCCCTCTTCAGGGACCCCTTTCACAAACATCTACTTCGGGAAGAAGTAACTCACCTACTCCTCTTAAGTGCAGTGGAATGAGTTCCAACACAGCACAGAGGAAAGGGATTTTACTCCCACTATTTCTTGACCCAGAAGAAAAGCGGAGGATATGACCCATTCTAGACCTGCAATGACTCAACAAATTTGTCCGCTCCCAATTCAGAATGGTCGTGTTGGGCACGATAATACCGGTGCTGGAATGAGGGAACTGGTTCTCAGCCCTTGACCTCCAAGACGCATACCTCAATACACCCAGCACACAGACTATTCCTATGGTTCACAGTGGGACACGACCACTTCCAATACAGAGTGCTCCCATTCGGTCTCTCCACTGCACCACGGATGTTTTCCAAGACTCTCGTGGTGGTGGCAGCCTACCTACGTAAACAAGGGATCATATTTTTCTCATACCTGGACGTCTGCCTCATCAAGGACCGATCGTATGAAGAAATGCATACGGTCACCCAGTCAACCATCGCTCTTTTCCAAAGGCTTGGATTGCAAATAAACTTCCAAAAGTCAAAATAGAGAAAATAGAGTTCAATGGGGCTTACCTGGACTCGACCCTCCTCAGAGCCTTCCTCCCGCAGGCCATGTTCCTCGCCGTCAAACACCTCATACATACAGTGTCCACCTGCCCAAGGGTCGAAGCCAGAAAGTGCCTGCAACTTCTGGGCCACATGGCAGCTATCACGTTCGTGGTGAAACACGCCAGACTACACATGAGGCCTTACAGGGCTGGCTGAGTACAAACCTGCCAAGCACAGCCTCCACATGATGGTAACTCCACCCACAAATGTGCTGAACTCACTGCACTGGTGGACGGAAAGGGAGAATATATGTGCAGGAGTTCCCTTTTGCCAAAATCCCCCCGCGCTTATGCTCACCACAGACGCCTCCCTGATACGCGAGGGGGCGGCACACCTGCAACACCACATGACACAGGGCAGATGGTCTGCACTGGAGGCCCATCTGCATATAAACCTCCTAGAACTCAGAGCAGGCAGGTATGCCTGCTTTCACTTCCTCCCACTCATTCGAAACAAATCTATTTGAGTACTCACGGACAACATTGCATGTATGTTCTACATCAACAGACAAGAGGGAGCAAGATCACACTCCCTGTGCATAGAAGCCATCAAACTTTGGAACTGGTGCATACGACATCGCATAGACATCACGGCCTCATTCCTGCTGTGGTGTCAGAACACCACCGCCAACACCCGAGGCAGACACTTTTCACAAAAACATGAATGGGAACTAATTTCTATGATCGCATCCCACCTAGTCTCCCTTTGGGGCTCTCCTTTGGTAGATCTATTTGGCACAGCAAAGAACCGCAAATGCCAATTATTTTGCTCCAGAGTGGGACTCGGGAAAGGCTCCCTGAGAGACGCATACCTACTCTCATGGAACTGGACAGTTACGTATGCATTCCCTCCAATTCCTCTAATACACAGAGTTCTCCGCAAGATCAGGGACGACAAGGCCAAGGTCATGCTTATCGCCTCGGCACGGGCTAGACAGACTTGGTATCCTTACCTGCTTCGCATGTTAATCTGCCCTCCAAGAACTCTCCCGATGAGACCGCACCTCCTCTCCCAGAGCGACAGTTGCATCTTCCATCCACAACTGGAGAAACTTCATCCTCCTCAGAGGCTCCTCCTTGGTTCCAATTGCATGAACTCGCCTGTTCGGAGTAAGTCAGACACGTGTTATTACACAGTAAATGCGACTCCACTCACAATAGTTACCTCCAAAAGTGGAAACAATTCTCAATGTGGTCCTTACAGAAAACCCTCACACCCTGCACCATATCCTTTCCTGATATCCTAGACTAAATTTTAGAACTCAAAAACAAAGGTCTATCACTCAGTTCCATCAGAGTTCATCTTGTGGCAATCAATGCCTTCCATGAGAAACTGGACAGCTCCTCTGTCTCCACACGCCCTACTACAAAATGTTTCCTTACTGGATTCCAAAACCTCTATCCTGAGGTCCACCCCACCCCACACCCACCTGGAATTTGAACCTCACCCCCAGAGGCCTAATGAAACCTCCCTCTGAACCAATAGCCACCTCCTCCTTATTCCACATGTCCATGAAGGTGGCCATCACGTCAGCCAGGTGGGGCAGAGAAATAAGGGCACTGATGGCCCACTCCCCATACACTAATTTATTTAAGGACAAGATCACGATGCAACCCCATCCTAAATTTCTGCCAAAGGTGGTGTTCTCTTTCCATCTTAACCAGCTGATACACTTCCCCACTTTTTACCCCAAACCCCACAAAAACCCACAGGAAGCGGCACTTCATACCCTGGATGTTAGAAGGGCGATTGCCTTCTACTTGGACAGAACAAAATCATTTTGTAAATCACCTAGACTCTTCGTATCTACTGCTGAAAGGAGCTGCTATTTCACAACAGTGCTCTCCAAGTGGATCTCCGACTGTATTAGGTCCTGCTACCAGATCCATGACGTTGAACCTCCTGATGGCATCAGAACTCATTCCACTCGAGCTACGTCAACATCGGTAGAGTTCCTACACAACGTACCCATTATTGACATATGCAAAGCCGCTACATGGTTGTCAGACCATATGTTTGCCAAACACTACACCATCACACAAGATGCCAGAGCGGACATTATAGTAGGTCATACAGTACTATCTGCCACTGCCAAATCCGCAACTCCAAAGTCCCCCCAACCATAGCAGGTACTGCTGTACATTCACCTGAAGTGGAGCACCCACAGGGAGACCACTCGAAGAAGTAGAGAAGGTTACTCACCCTGTGCAGTAACTGAGGTTCTTCAAGATGTATGTGTCCCTGTGGGTGCTCCACTACCCACCCTCCTCCCCTCTGCTTTGGAATTCGACTTAAAGGACTCTGTGGCGGAGAAGGAACTGAGGGGGTCGGAACGCATGCACGTGCCAAAGACTCCAATGATGCTGCGAGACACCAACTGTGCACGTGTGTCCCGACCGGGCCCTGCTACTGAAGATCTCCGATTAATGGCACCGGGATGCACCGACACCTGAAGTGGAGCACCCCCAGGGACACACATATCAAACAAACCTCAGTTACTGCACAGGGTGTGTAACCTTCTCTTTTAAGACAACCCACAAACATTTAAATACAAAAACAGTAAGTCTGCTGGTGGGATGGAATTTAATATGAATGTGGCTTTTAACCAAACTATATATTAAATCATGATGGGACTCACAAAACTGTGTAATCTACCCAAAGTAGTGAAATCATTTCTATTTATAATCTCTTCATTCCCTTAATAAACCACCCTTACATCCCCTCTAAACATATGGAGCGCAAACAAAACAGATGGGGGATTTCCCACCACTGGTTCCTTTCTTATAATGATGCTTATTTTCAATTCACAAAACTCTCAGCTGGCATCTCTGATTTATTTTCTCAGCAAATGTCGGTTTGGGTTACATTGCTACTAGCTCTGGTGCCAGAGTAACAGCCGTGTTAGTCTGTATTCGCAAAAAGAAAAGGAGTACTTGTGGCACCTTAGAGACTAACCAATTTATTTGAGCATGAGCTTTCGTGAGCTACAGCTCACTTCATCGGATGCATACCGTGGAAACTGCAGCAGACTTTATATATACACAGAGAATATGAAACAATACCTCCTTACCAGCAGGACAGTGGGGTGGGAGGAGGTATTGTTTCATATTCTCTGTGTGTATATAAAGTCTGCTGCAGTTTCCACGGTATGCATCCGATGAAGTGAGCTGTAGCTCACGAAAGCTCATGCTCAAATAAATTGGTTAGTCTCTAAGGTGCCACAAGTCCTCCTTTTCTTTTAGCTCTGGTGCATTTCTTTACTCATGATTCCCACTCCCACTGCTTGTGCATGGAGCAGCCAACCAAGATTCATGCCTATAATAGCAAACTCCCCCCCCCGCCCCTTGCATTCTCTCTAACAATGCTTGAACGTTTTGTGGCTCGCATTTGGGTTGGAGCATGATAAGAAATGTATCGAAAGAAACATATTTTTTTTGCTTTGTTATTCGCTTTCAAGCTTCCTCCTCTCCTCTGTCTATTTCCATTAATAATGGAATTTTTAAACCGATAAAGCCATCACAGCACAGTCCCTTTGAAGGAGTCGCTGGCTCCAGACTCGGCCAGCCAGCGAGCCATCCCTTATTTGCGGCACTGCCTACTCCCGCCCTTTGTTCCTCCCCCCCCCCACCCCGCCCCCCCCGTACTACTCGCCGCAGTGGAGACCCAGCCCGCTCCGCTCCGCGCGCTGCACACACACCACGGGCGAGGAAATCGCCTGGCCATAAACAATAGCCTCCTGCCGCTGCAGCGCCGGCGCCTCCTCTCCAGCTCAGCCCCTCAGGAGCTGTCCAGCCCCGCCGGGCGCGCGCCACGGGAGCAGCGGCTCTGTGTGCAGCCCGCCGTGCGGAGCTCCGCCGCCTCCGCCCAGCCAGCCGCTGTCCCTCCCCCGGGGTGCTGAGCCCCAGCGCCGGGGGCCACGCTGGGGCATGGGCAGGGAAGGCGGCAGCGAGCCCCGCCTCGGCGGGCCTGTCCGCTGACCCGGCCGGCCCGGCGCCGCGGCCATGGAAGAGGAGCTGAAGTGCCCGGTGTGCGGCTCGCTGTTCCGGGAGCCCATCATCCTGCCCTGCTCGCACAACGTCTGCCTGCCCTGCGCCCGCACCATCGCCGTGCAGACGCCCGAGCGCGAGCAGCAGCTGCCCGCCTTGCTGCAGCCCCGGGCCCCAGGGGCCGCGGCAGCCGGGCCGGCGGCGGGCTCGGAGGCTGAGGGCGCCGCGGGGGGCGGCGGCGGCGGCGGGGAGCACGCGGACAAGCTGAGCCTGCACAGCGAGAGCGACAGCGGCTACGGCTCCTACACCCCCAGCCTCAAGTCCCCCAACGGGGTGCGGGTGCTGCCGCTGGGGCCGGCCCCGGCCGGCTCCTCCTCGGCGGCGGCTCCCCGCGGGGCGGGCCCCAGCTCGTCCCTCACCTGCCCGCAATGCCACCGCAGCGCCTCCCTGGACCCGCGCGGCCTCCGCGGCTTCCCGCGCAACCGGCTGCTGGAGGCCATCGTGCAGCGCTACCAGGAAGGCCGGGCCGCCGCCAAGTGCCAGCTCTGCGACCGCAGCCCGCCCGAGGCGGCCGCCGTGGCGTGCGAGCAGTGCGAGGTGCTGTACTGCGCCGCCTGCCAGCTCAAGTGCCACCCGACCCGGGGGCCCTTCGCCAAGCACCGTCTGCTGCCCCCGCCCAGCCTCCCGGGCGGGCCCGGCGGCGGCAAGGCGGCGGGGGGCGCCCGCAAGTTGCCCACCTGCGCCGATCACGAGCTGGAGAACTACAGCATGTACTGCGTGAGCTGCGGCACCCCCGTCTGCTACCAGTGCCTGGAGGAGGGCAAGCATGGCCAGCACGAGGTGAAAGCCCTGGGGGCTATGTGGAAACAGCACAAGGTAAGCTCGGGGGCGTGGGGGTGCCCCCCCCCAGCCCAAGCAGCACGGCCCTGCCTTCATGACGGGGAGGGGGGGGAAGGTCTCTGATCATTAGCTCCACTCCCCTCTTCTTCAACACCCTCCAGCTCTGGACCTCCAAGCACTTTCCCCAGACTGGGGCTCTGTTTTGGCTTCTGCAGTCCTCTTCTGCCCAAAATCATGCTGAGGTGGGAGGAGATAAAAGTGGCTGTCAGTTACCTTTACTCCTCCCCCACTCCTGTAGCAGGCAGGGGGTTAAAATGGCCCTTCGCTCAAATTAGAGCAGCCCCAGGACTGCTGCAATTTATGCTGTCTATAAGAGTCCCCTAGACAAGGTTAGTCCTGGAATGCCCCCAGCACACCCCTGGGATGTTATGCAAATAAAATAAAAACCAGCAGGATCTTACTAGAGGAGAAAAGGCAAAATGCCACATTTATTGTGAATACAGAAAGAAATACAGAAAGTAAGCAGTTAGTTATAGCTATAACATTCCATTCAGTTTCATATTTATTCACACATTCATTCATTCATACACACACACACACACACACACACAAGAGGTTCTGCAAGGTTGTTATCATAGTTACCAGCCTTAGAGTTGCTCATGCCAAGCCACTGGCCAGGTGGCCTGGACACAGGGAGGGAGCAGGGCCTTGTTAGATGCACATCTGATGCTTCTGGAAGTTGGTTTGCAGAATCAGACCTCAAAGTTCTCACTTTCTAGAGTCCATTTTTTAGGGATTTATTCCTATGCTAGTCTATGGGAATTGCTTTATCATGCTGTTGCTGAATCAATCAGCAGATGGCACATTCCTGATGGCTCCCTGTTGTTCTTTGGTTCTCCCATCCTTGAGACTGTTGTTTGTTGTTCAGTCTGCCCTCCGGGGGTCCTCTCGTTGTTTCCACTTGATGCCTTCTTTGGCTGATGGACACTGGATTCTTAGGCTGTCACCTCCCTGATCATTCAGTTATTATCCACACCAAGCATCCATCCACATACATTCTCTATCTCTATTTTAATCACAATTGTTAACAAACGAGATGAATACAACAAAAGGGCGGGGAATCTCTGGGTGCTGTTTCTGTTGTTAAAAAGTATTGCTTTGAGTCTCTCTCTGTGTAAGTAGTTGTTACAAAGTATTGCTTTGAGAACAGACTCTGTCTTAGGATGTACTAACACAATTAGCAGCTTGCAAGTTTCACACAGAGAGGGAGAGAAACAGTAAAAACAAGAGACCAAAAGCCAAGAGACCTCTTTATTAGTAATACCCTGGAATTTAAACTATGGGGAATCAAACTCATTTATGATTTGAATACAGAACTTCTTTAATATGATCCAACAGGGACATTCTCAGAATGTCCCCTCCCAACTCCAGCCAGCCCCAATACACCTTCTGTGAAAGGGGGCTGATATAAACCTGGCTACACCAGATATACCCCACCCAAGATTCCCCCCTATTGGTGGAATCCTGTTACCCCTTCAGGGCAGCGGTACACTTTATGCCACCAGAGTAACACAAATGTATCTTTAATGGGGCCAGGGATCTAGCCCCACAATGAGGAAGAAGTATTCTATGTCAGTGACAGTTCTTGTTGAGGCGGGTGAGATAAGAGGGAGATTCTGGGTAACTCACCCTAGTGTCTTGATGTTTATCTGAACATTGAGGCTACCTCATTTCCATAATTCTCTGATAGCCTTCCGCTCTCCTTTCCCTTCACGCAACTCTCCAATAGGCCCCTGGTCCTTCCTCCCTTCTTGTTGACCCTCTATTAGACCCTGGGCAGCATATTCCCTTCTCATGACCTTCTAGTAACCGAAACGCTCCCTCTCTGTGATCTTGCATTAGGCCATAACATCTCAACTTCCAAATCTCAAACCAAATCTGCTTTCTTCCCAATCCAAATTAAATTAGAGAGGCAGACAGTTGTTGGGCCTTCGATAGCATCTTTATCTGTCACTTTGCTATAAATGTATCAGTGACAGAAGGTTGCCCGGGACCCACTGGAGGGCTGGAGAGAGGGAAGGTGTGTAGAGGTTTATTTGCAAGTCATGCTAGGGTCTTTTAGAGGGTTGTATGGTGGCTGTGATCCACAGTCATGATGGCAGTTAAGGATGGAGGAGATGAGGGTCTTATCCACACTGATCCAAAAACTAGTGATGGTAGTGTTTGGTTATGGGACAGATGAAGGCTTGGCCAGTTCACAGATTGTTCCAGTCTGGTTCACTCATCCCTAGTATTAATACTCATTATAATTTGAACCTGTGTGGGGGTTTTGGGAGATAGTACTTTCACATAAGTTTGCTGATATTTGTGTGCAAGATGGAGCTGAGATTGTTTCATATATTTTTTGGATAGAGACCAAGAGATGATTGTCTTAAAATTGATTTGAAGCTTGTCAGACTCACCAGGAAGCCTGGACACTGACTCGATTAAGAATTAATGATTGATATTTTACATTTATAGAGTGCTTGTCATCCTCAGCACATTACAACTATCCATACAGCAGCACTGAGGCGGGTCCCTCCCTCATGGAGGGTGAACACCCAACTGCTACAACCCTTCAGGTGGGGCAGCTTGCTTCCTTCTGTTGGTTACTGCAGAGGAAAGGCTCACCTCCTCCCTGTTCTCTTTGGTATGATTAGCACCTGTGGAGGTAATGAGAGGGTCTGTGATAATTTCTGGCTTCTGCATAGGGGTAAAAAATGGATCACTTCTTGTGCCCTGATCCCTGGCTCCCCCACACAGTAGTGCTGATGCAGAACGCACTGGACTTCAATTTGTAAAGACTCATGAAAAGATCCCACATGGCATCCACTGCACAGAACTTTGTTTATTGATCAGAAGAATGAATGGGTGAATCAGCCCTGGCAGTACTTCAATCTGTGTTTCAACAGAGTCAAAGTACTTCCAGCTAAGGATTTACTTAGACCATTAAACCATCTCCTGAATAACTTGATTTTTTTGTGTTCAGGAGTTAAATTCACTTGACTCATAAGCCTCAGGTCATGAATTCACAGCTTTTGCCATTTATGCTAATTGCAGATCTGATTTTTTGGTGGAAAGTCTTCATCAAGGAGCCTGCCAAACCCCTGATGAACAATGATTGACTTCAGTATGCATAAGTGTTTAGTGTTTTATAGATTGTGAAGCCAGTTTGTATTCTACTAGAGTCTACTTGTGCTACAACTGATTAACGCCTTTTGAAATGATGTGATAAACTGTGGTGCTGATCAAGATACATTTTAAATCATTTCTCATTCTTCTTACAGACTTTGTCAGAGGAATGAACTAAATTCTGTTGTTTTGTGTTTTCACTGCACTTTTCCTCCTGAGAGTTTGTTCTCACAGAATGTGATTTTCCCTTGTTATATGTAGCTTGAATGTTATGATAAAGGTTCTAAAGAGAACAGTAAAATAACCTAAAATTAACTAATTTTGTGATAGTAATCTTTTCATGTCTTGTAAGTGTTAATTATCCTAGAACAATATACTTGGCAGGAAATAAAAATATTGAAACTGCCAACAGGAGCCAGTCTAACCCCTCATTTCATGTTTATTTTCAGATAGTTGGATTTTGGAATTGGATATTTGTAGTTGGACCTTAGTAAGTTTTCAGATGCAGTAATTTACACTTACTGCCTCCTGGGTCCTGTAACTTTGGCCAACCATAAATTAAAGTATTGTATTTAGAATTATATGACACATTTAATTGTTTGTACATGTTATTGCTAGATAATCTAGCTCATCCACCATGAGCATTTTGTAGTCATATTAGTTTAATAAAGATACTTTCCCCTAGAAATATATGTAGGAATCTGCCATAAGTAAATTATTTTGGAGAAGTTAGAAATTATGTAATATACAGACACGGAGCTAGATCCTCAGTTGGTATAAATCAGTGGGGGATCATTGATTTATATCAGCTGAGGCTCTGGTAGGAAGGCTTTAAAGGGATTGATCAAAATTGTGTGCTCCTATTGTCGGAGGGAAGGATATTGTACTTTGTGTTTGGACAGCACCTAGTATGATAGAGCCATGATCACATTTGGGATCTCTAGGCTCTACTGTAATACAAAAATATTAATAATATTACTAATGATAGATTTCAACTTGTGGGCCCTTTGACTCACAGGTATGGGGAAGCATGGTGAACAAGTCTCAGCTCTGCAGCTTCTGTTGAGTCCCGCCATGTACATCAAAAATATAACTGTTGTGTATGTGTGATCTTGTAGTTGAGATGGCATCAGGAATTTTAGTTGGACAGGGGTCTGTTTAGGACACTGATGCATAGGGAGATGAGCAAGTAGTTGAGGGCAAATATTGGAGTATGGATGCCTCTTTAGAAGGTAGCCCAGAATTGCCCCCAAACCCCTACCCTCCATTCCCAGAAACTTGGAAGCTCTTTAAGAATTCAGTGCCTGGATCATATGATGTAATCAGTAGTTAATTTGCTATGATGATAGATGGAGAAAAAGAAAGGTAAATGAGCAATGAACTCTTCTTTTGAAAAAGAATGATAGAATTATCAGTCTCATTTTCTAAAATCAGGGAAAACATCAGTCTTCTATGCCTAGCTAGATTTGATTACTTGTCCTCCTCGTTATTTGTCTATTACTATATTTGATAAGAGTATAACTTTTTTACCCATCTACAGAATCCT